AGAAGAATGCTGTTCTAATTATGAGGGTAGGTTCTAGAAAAAAGCTGTAGTAATTACTTCAAGTATAACAGTACTTGAACGCGGTAATTAGAAATAGTTGTACTTAAGATATGCATTTGCAACGATACTGAAGTGAATCGAACTGTGAGAGAGGACAATGCTCACAGTTTGCACACTACAGTAACGATCTGACGTTAGAGTATGTGAATACCAGCTTCTTTAGGCATGACGAAAAAGGTAAATTAAGATGTAATCTCAACCCTTTTTTTTCGTTGTAAATTGATCATCACTGGCATTTGCTTATCTGGCAACGGTTTATAACCAAAGCCAATCATATCGAATTCTAATTGTGCTGACACTACTAGTTGTGAATAATTTGCTAGAATATATAAAAATTATATGATATAAATAAGATTACCTCTGATGAGAAAGGGACTAGAAAAGAACATGCAAGAATATCCAAACAACTTACTCCATAACTTGTATTTTTGTTCCACGCGTGCGACAAAGTCGGAAAAAAATTGTTTCATATTATTTGTTTTCGAAGAAAAGACATGATTAGTGGGATAATAGACAATATCAAATGTAATATCGTGTTTTGATTGCAAGGTTTTTACAATTCTCTCGACAGCTAACTTTTCATAGATACAATTAATTTTTCTATCAAACTGATTCACTTTTGTGTCAAGATAATCAATTTTATTCTTGAGAAAATTAATTCTATTGTCAACAAAATCAATCTTCTTGTTTAACATTTGATATAACAACAAAAATTCACCCGTTAATACCACAGTTTGTTTGTCTGTTTGTAGAGGTTTTTGTGGACTATGCTGATCGACTCTAAAATAAAAATATTTTTATGCTTTCATCTTTTTTCCACATGAATGAGATGAAAATTCTTAATATAATTTCTACTTTTCAGCCACTTCGGTCATTTTAATTCTCCATTTCGGAAATCGATATTAGAAACAGTTAAAGAACCATAGCTTTTCAATCCCGACCTAATGAAAGAGATTGCTGGTAACAATGATTCTTCAGGCATAAATAAATAAAAGCTCATCAGGGTATGTACAAAAAAGAAACAAACACTCGTAAAAAACTACATAGGAAACGGAAATGCAAAAAAGAACTAATAACAGCGCAAGGAAAAAAAGGTGGAGGACGTCAGTTATCGGGGAGGATCAACTGGAAGTGTTCGGTGAGTTCGTCGAGATCGCCGGCGTTGCTCACTGGCCATCGACCTAGAAGCATTGACTCCTCGTTCAACTCGGTCGATTCGTCTTCCACACTGATTTGATTCGGGGTCTTCATAACGGAAGACTCATCCAGAGAATCTTTAGGTACGTCGCTATGTGATGATGGATACGAGAGGATCTCGTTGAGGTCAGGCTCTTCGGCATGTCGAGGCGTCGCTAAACGGACTGACGATTGCAGGGCGAGCGGTTATTTGTGACCGCCGCTTCTACTTGTATAAGCCCCCTCTAATCGTTTACGTCTCTGACGCCGTAGGGTACTCTTCTTCAGGCGTTTCTGTTGCACATCTGGCTGTTGCCACTGATACTTTTGCATCACGAGTCGTGACTACGAATATTGTTGTTGTTTCCTGTCGATTGAGGGTCGACTTGTCAAGTTCTGCCGATATAGCGAATCGACAAAAGATCGACCACTAACAATCGGGCCGGTCGATGATTTTTGACTCAGACCTACGGATTATCGAGTTCATATTCTAAATCAATAATATCTATTTGCGTAATATGTGCACCGAATTCTACTTTTTGTCTATAATCATCATTGTCAATTAATTCATCACCATCGTCGTCGATCGAATCATTAAACTGTCTCTGTGCATGAGTCTGTTCGGTGAACAAATTCTTTGTTAGGAAAAATGTTGTGGTAGACGATGAGGGTGAATGCTGTTTTGAGTTTTTTCTTCAGTTTGTTTTGCTTCCGCATTATTACTTTTTGGTTGTGATTGTTTGCCTGTTTTTTTCTTCTTTTTCTTCCTACTGGTTACGGATTTTTCTTGTAAATCATCAATATTTAAACTCTTTAAAGCTTCATTCCTTCTACGTTCCTCTTCAACATCTTGAATTTTTATTTGGTTTTCTAGTTGTCGCAGTTCTTCTGCAGATAAATTTTTATAAACATGTATTTCCCCATCATTGGCATTTTTCATAATTTGAAAATCAAAATGATCGTTATAAACATATATTTTACTTTCAAATGTAATTTTACTTATTGTACCAGCGGCACATCATGTGTTTAAGTATGTTTCAAAATCTTTTGGATATCTTCGCATAGAAATCTCAGAAGGAATTCCATCAGTGGTAGATTTATTATATACGATTATTTTCATTGATATAATCGCCTTTGAAATAAGTGACTTCATGAAAAGGTAGAAATAGGACATAAAGCTATCAAATTCGGAATCGCAATGCAAAAAGACGATCCTCGAGTAAGTTTTGGGTGCACCCGTGAGCCATATCAGAAAATGACTTTTTTTGTGGCGCGGTCGTGAACGTGAGGAAACACACATTCTGAACGTGTAATCTCGGAGACACTCCAAAATTACTCGAGGATCGTTTTTTAGCATTGCGAATTTGATCGTTTTATGTCATATTTCTACCCTTTTCATGCAGTCATACGGTATTGATTTAAAGAACATTTCTCCGTTATATATAAAAGATGAAAAACAGCAGTACGTCGACGACTAACAATCGGGACGATCGATGATTCATTTTATTTTGTAGTAGACGATGAGAGTAAATGCTGTTTTGGATTTTTTTTCTTCAGTTTGTTTTGCTTCCGCATTATCACTTTTTGGTGGTGCAATCAGAGAAGAGGACAATTTACCACCTTGTTTTGTCTTAAATTTGATTCTTCCTTGCTTTATTTCTCTCCGTCAAGGACTATTTGCTAGCGTAGGGCCCACAAGCCATTTTTAACGAATCGAGCTAGCTCGTTAAGGACGGTTACACAGCCGAAACCGTGGTCGCAAGTTAGTAGTTCGAATAACAAGAAATATGCAACAATTTCCTGAATGAAATTGTTATCATATATATACGTTGTCGTTGATGATTCAATTGTGTATTGATAGTCACACACACAGACATTTGAACTGTGTGACAGACGTACATACAGACAGACATTTGAACACTGCGTGGCGGACATTGATTCCTCACTATTTATCTACCACCTGGTGAGATCCTTAAGCAAGATCGAAAGTGCTCGTGGTGGCTCAAGTGGCTAATAACTCTATATGAACGTTCCAACGAGGACTTTAATACCTAAACGTCTACAAACAGATCAACGCAATTGTATATATGGAAAAAAACTCAACATCAAGAAGATGGACTCTTGTTTGGCTGAGCATCAAATAGCCGACAATCAAAATTTTTTTTCCTATATCTCGAGTATCGTTTAAGTTGATCATTAAATAGCCGAGAATCAATGATTTTTCTCTAATAACGGCCGGCTATTTTGCACACAAGTTTTGTATACACGTTTAGGAAAGTGGAATGATTTTGTACAACGTACACATCTAGGAACATCGTTGTGCTATGACTACGTAATATATGTACTGATCGTAGGAATCGTACAAATATCATTAATGCGTGATCAAAAGTAGACTCCTATCTACAGTCTGCGGTGCATGATGAAAAGGCTTTTCTAGATTAGATCGGCAAGGCCAAAACTAATTTCTTGTCAGATTTCGAAAGAAAAAAGCCGTATATACAATTAAATAATCGGAGGTACTTTTTACACAAATGCGTGTCTCGCTGCGCGCCTTCGGCGCTTGGTTCGACTGCGCAGACGCTGTTCCATCAGGATTTCGTCTTGAACCTTTCGCACCGGGTAGCATGGCTTGATGGTTACGTTGGTTATGTTGTTACGTACTTCAATGGTACTGTGTTTGGACCTCGGCGGTAGCAAAAGTCATGTAACACCCAAACGCTTCTTTTGCATATCTTTAATGACTGGCCCACCTACCTAGATTTTCTGATCAGTCCAATTTGTAGAGAATTCCACGGGCTATCCAATGGCATCCTTTTGAAAAATATTCATTAGGACAGAAAAGACTTCTAAAAGAGTATTCTGCAACTGTTTTCCGTAGTCCAACGCGTTTTTTGCACGTCTCTGGTACCTGGCCCAACCAATCAAGATATTCTGACTAGCTCAGTTTGTAGAGAATTTGAAGGGCTCTCCAATGGTATATTTTTGAAAAATATATAATTTTTCATTATGACAGCAAAAATGACTAAAGGAGTGCGCTGCACGTATTTTTCGTACTACAACGCTTCTTTTACATGTCTTTGGTGACTGACCCAACCAGTCGAGACATGCTGACTAGTTCAGTTTTAGAGAATTTCAAGGGCTATCGAAATACATATAAACTGAGATGCAAGCTGACTTTTAAGTACATAAAAGAATTAAAACTTTGTGAATCTGTATCCTATTAAGTATGTGACCATATAAAAGTTTGGTCTACCATTTCTAACAAACAGCTGCGAAGATATGATTTGGATGCCTTTCAATTCAGTTTTTCATCGTCTATCTAGCAATGGTCGAATAAATCTTGTCTATTATTTTAGCCAACAGAAATAATTAAATTACTAGTTAGATGAGACAGCAAGACGATGATGGATGATGGTGGAAAAAACTTTTTTTCACGCTTTTTTTTAATGTTTTTCGCTCGGGAATGACATAGAGTAATAGAAACGTGACTTTTCTAATAAACTCGGTCATCATCATTCATCATCATCATTATTAATCGACTGCAAACAAGGTTGGTTTACAGGCGGCTACAATTTTCTTCCATTCTTTGCGATCTTGTGCTGCTCTTCGTATTTCGTCGGCTGTGGTGGTACGTCGCTGTTGATGAGCTTGCCTATGTACGTGGATACAACATCCGCGGCTTGCCTCTGCCTCTTTCCCGTGATTTTCTTCGGGTGTATAGAGAACTTGTTGATTAAGTCGTTCTCATTTTTTCTAAGACAATGCCCGACGAATCTCAATTGTCTGCGCTGAATTTGTAGAGCAAGGGGGTCAAGGCCGGCTATCTTGTATATCTCTTCGTTCCGTTTCTTGTCCAAGCGTTTGATGTTAAGGATGACTCTGTAGCAGTTGAGCGCGTAACTGTTTAGGCTTCTCTCGAGCTTATCTGTAATGACCGAGCTCTCACAGCCATACAAAGTATTGAGAGACATGCTGCTTGGAAGATGTTGGTCTTGCGCTTGATCGGCAGGCTTTTTGATCGAAATATATCTTTCATTTTCCAGAAAGCACCCCACGCTTGACCCTTACGCACTTTGATATCCGATTCGCTTGAAACATGGAAGTGGAAAAATACGAGTGGGTCGATTCTCGTTCAAATGCGCCCCCGTCCTTTGAAAAAAGAAACCTCCGTGGCTTATTCACATACTTTTCTCTGAATCACATACAAAAGTTCGTCAGATCATTGAGTAAGGTCCGTAAAGTATGTAATTACGGGCTTTTCAACCCGGAAGTTGTCAGTCAGATCTGTAATTTTTCCGTGAAAATATGGATTAAAGCATGTGGAAAATTACAGATCTGACCGACAACTTCCAGGTTGAAAAGACGGATAATAAAACTTACAGAATACAGATAGTCTATCATGGCGAATTGATCAGAAATACTTGGAGCTTCTCCGCGGACATTCAGTGGGTGTCCACAAAGGTTCTTAGCTGGGTATGTCCATTCAGGTCCGTTCACTTTATACAGATATAACAGCCGCGAAAATTTGAACATCGTATAGAGCATAGAGACTTGCATGCAATTGCTCATTTGTTCATTAAAAAAGTCATATTCTACATGCCCGTTTAGGGATATCAAGTTTTCACCTCTCTGAGAACGAAGCAACTTTGACCTTCTTTACATAAGAGAGAAAATATTCAAAGAGATCATCTGAAATATGTACTGATGCAGAGAGGTAAACAGCTAAGCAAACGTTTTCTGTAGGCCGGGTGGTAGATCTCGCCAGATAGCAGTCAACTGTGACAATATAAAAAGGTGGTATACGGGTAATAAAATTGACAGTGTATAGATAATCTATTATAACAAATCGATTAGAAATACTTCCAACCTCTTTGGGATCTGCAGAGGGTGTGCAGAAAACCTTTTAGCTTTATATTACATTAGATGGTTTTCCGGTGGAATCAGAGAAGTTCATAGCATTTCTCATCTATACTGGTTGCGAACGCCGACAGAAGGGAAGCATGAGGATTGTTTTAAATTCAGAAATAGTTTTAGACTTCTTGAGATTTTTGCTCTTTATATTCATATTAGATTCCGAACCTTACACATGAAAACAGAAAAAGTCCAGAAGCTGTCTTAGGCAGGTCTCCAGCGAGCGCCGACCGAAGGGAGGTGTTGTTTTGAATTCAGAAATATGTTTAGACCTCTACAGATTATACATAAAAAAAGAAAAACAATTCAGAAGATGCCCTAGTTAGGGCCCCAGCGAGCGGCGACCGAAGGGAGGCGTGAGCATTGTGTTCGATTTATAAGTCACCAAAGGGCGTTCGCTTGCGCAGATCCAACTTAATAAAGTCAAGGGACCGGGCGAGTGGAGACGAGCGCTACCTTGTGTTTTTGCTGTTGCTTTGTTTTACAGTGATTGTTCTTTTCCGTCTCTCCGTCATATAAGACTATTTTTGATTGGTTGTGACTTGTCATTATGGTTTCAACTATTCCCTTTCGCAGAACTAACATTTAAGTAACATGAACAAGTATATATATATTTATATAGATATGTGACTCATCCTGCATCAGTATAGTGAAACGCGTATCACAATGACAGTATGGCTACAAAGTTTATTTCTCTTTAGTTTTCGATTATGGGGTGATTAGTTTCCCTGTTTATTCTAAATTTGTTGTTTTTTTTCGTTACGTGAAAATTTGAAATCCTGTTAATGAAAGTTAAGAATGAAAGTTCTACTTAAAAACCTTTCTAACTGGTTGGTTAAGAAAGCAAAGTCGTCTCTCACCTTGTATAAATTGATTAAACTTCGCTTATTGAAATTTCAAACTTATTTGTTTTCTGATCTGTACTATAATTTCTTCGTGTTAACAGACCTTGTTAGTGTAGATCCTTTACTAACACACAATTCCATTAATTTTACATTGTGTCCAACGTTTCCTGAAACATTGTACAATAAATGACTAAATACCGGTAGTACCAATAGGGCTTTTTCCATTGTAGATTTTATAAATCATTAACTACTTGATATTTAGTGTGCGAAATTTAAAATGTAAGTGGATTTTAATTGACTTGTTTTATGTTACTTTACTCTAAATGCTTCTTTTATATTTTCAGGGCATTCGAGAATCCAAATAATACACGTGTAAAATACTCAGCCCCGAAACATTTCGATGATTTACAGAAGAATGTTGATGAAGTATGCTCATAAATTAGTTCATATTGTCTTTCCTGAATCATTTCGCTTCTACTCATTCTTTTTCCTTACATAAACTTGTAGGTAGTTAATGTAATGAAGGATGGTTTGGATAAAGTATTAGTGAGAGATAATACATTAATAATGCTAGATGATCGTTCAGATAATCAGAATAACACAAAAAATACTTTAGTTGTTTTTTGTGTTGGGTGAACGTTATTCTATGCTTAATATATACTTCTATGCACTGATTTAGTTTATTATATTCATGCTTTAACAGTCAGTTTTGTTTGGTTACTTGTTTATCTTTTTATCTATCGATTGTTATTTAATTATTTACACTTTTTCTTGTTCAACAGGTTGTGGATGTCATGAAAAACAATCTTGACAAAGTATTGGAACGTGATAGCAAACTTACAACACTTGAAGGGCGAGCCGGTATGATTTGTATTTTTTTTGCTAATATACTGCTAATGCTTTAAAAATAAAACATTAATCGTTACTCTCAGATGTGACGAACGTATTCATTGTTCGCAAAAGTAGTGCTGTTTTAGTTAATGGGTAAATCAAACTTATTAGGCATCCTCATGTAAAACGTTCACTTGTTTAACAATATCCATAGTGATTCATGTCAAATATTCAATAAATTCTTTAGTCTAGATTTTCTTCAATGTTTATAACTTTGCCTATTTTCGCCTTGAGATCCAAAATGTCTGTATTGTTGCTCTGTATAATTCCTTAAATCAAATATAAATCAATCAGTTATGATTATTTTATGCTTTTTTTGCGCTGCTCTTATTTAGATGCTTTACAAACTGGAGCATCACAATTTACAACAAATGGTGAAAGATTGAAACGAAAATATTGGTGAAAAAATCTGAAAGTAAAATAATATTGATTATTTTTTTCTTTTCATAGTGAAATGCGTGAAAAGAATACTTTATCGCTCATTCGCTCGTCGTTCAAAAGTGTAGACAATGTTATTTAAATTATTTCATTTCAGACGAGATGAGTCATTCAGCAAGTTTATTCCGAACTTCATCAACAAAATTAAAAAATAAATTTTGGTGGAAAAATGTGAAGGTATACAGGTTACTGCTCTAATACTCTAAAATCAACAAAAGAGATAGTCACTTTTTCACATTCAAAATCGTGATGAATCATAAACAAACAGTTAATTTACTGACTTCTCTTATCCATAATCGCTTAAACTGTAGTTGGTTCTTTTAGTTAGCTGTAATCATCTATGTTAAATGATTGTATGTAAATTCTAATTTAGATGTGGATTCTTTTGATCGCTATTATTATTGGCCTGATTATTATTATTGCTGGTAAGAGAGTGAAGACTGTGTTCTTCTGCCAGCACTGACGTTATTTCTTCGTTTTAGTTGTCGCTAAAGTACAATTCGATAAAAAGAAAAAGAAACCGCCAGCAACAACATTAGCAACCAATATACACGCAAGAAAAAGATTTATTATTGACTCTCTTGTAAGATTCGTTAATAAATGCTTGAAATCACTCATCATCATACTCGCATTTGTTATTTTTAGTTTGATGAATGAGACATGTTTCGATATGTGTTTTAGTTTTTGTTGGCCTCTTTATACGATAATTTATCTAACAATACGATTGATCATTATTCTGTTTAAGGTTTCTTTGCTTCTTTGATATTAAAATTTTTCTATTTTTTAATTTATTTTTGTTTATTAAGGCTAGAATGATATCAGCAATCATCTATATATCTTCTTTCTATTCTGATGTATGTATCTTTACACACATTGGGTATATCTATCTATTTTCTTTCCATTTTTGATTGCTCGTTTGTCTCTCCTTTCATCTTGTATAAATGCGACTCGGGTGATTGGAAATTTTTTTTCGATTATTTAACCAAACATCAGTTTTCTGGGTTTTTTTTCTATTGCTCTTTTTTTTAAAATTAAACCGTATGAAAATAGTTTTTATAAAAATCAAATCTAAGTTTAAGTCAACAATCCGTTGATGTGTTGTAACGAAGCAGTGTAAATAATAGTTCAAAAATATTTAAGCCAACAACCAAATGAGAAGTATCTCATTTTCATCAGAACGCTGTTCTATAGTCTTGTTTTTAATGAAAGAAAAATCAAAGACAGTTGATAGAGATTTTTGTTCTTTCTATAGTCCTTCCGTTTGTAAAACTGACTCGTATGTTCCTCTACAATAAACATTAGAGCATTAGTACTGCACGAAGTGTCTATGTGTCGAAATGATTGAAGTTTTAATAAACATTAGCGTAGAGTGGGAGTAGTGCGAGAGATAATATTATTTCATTTGAACGATGTTGTCCGCTAATACGAGAGAGACAGAGATAGATGCAAGACAGAAAAGTGTTCTATTCTATATAAATGTATTCATTATCTAAATTTACCTGTAAATGTTCGGTGCTATGAATTTAAAGAGTCTAGATTCGTCTATTTATCTTTAGTGAGGAGTGTTACTTCTTCCCTACGGGCTCGATCAGCGAGGTGCACAGCACTAGACCAAGGGTGAGCCATGGCCCATCCCTTAGAAATTTCGTTTTCTTCATTCACAATAGAAAAAAATATTTTGATTGAAATTGAAAATAAAAATAAAAATACTACACAAGAACTTTTTTTACTGTTTTCTTTGGCCAAAAAAAAGGTTTGGCCCACCTATTACTGGAATCCCTGAGTCAGTCGCTCGGCCCGGTATTTCTTACGTTTGCTTTTGTGAACACTTTTCTTGGAAACCATCTATTGGGAAAATATTTTGTGTTTACAACAAACTGCTAATCCTCATTTCTTTTTTTTGTAAAAACTGTGCAGAGTTTTAATCTGCTTTATGTTTTAGATAAATTAGTGCGCCAAAAATTGTTATCCAATAAAAGATTGATCTTTGAGTAAACCATGTACGTAGAAAACCTGTTCGAATTTGTGTGCAATTTAAGGGTACTTATCCCCTCATTCCTAACTCTTCATAAAATCGCTTCCAATAATAAATCAGAAATGATAAAGGCTGCATATGTCCAGGCTAGATGAAAACGTCTTTTGGATACCTTTTTGTATAGTTTTAATTCTTTATCTATTATCCTTCGAGAAAACTCGATTTTTTGATTTGCATCTATTACAAACTCTCGTAAAACGCATCCTACTGGGCTCTGAGGTACTGTAGATCCTATCTCAGAGAAGATCTTATTCTTGTTTGAAAATATTGCTTCCTTCCCCATTTATAGCCAAAAAACTGAAAAAACAATAAGAACCCAAGAATGGGGAAAGAAGCAATATTTTCAAACAAGAAAAAGATCATCTCTGATATAGGATCTGTAGTACCTCAGATAATAACTTGAACCATTATTGGTTTATTTTTTTGGCAGCGATTTTACGAAGAGTCAGAAATGAGGGGAGAAGTACCCTTAATATGTTTATACATTTTACAGGGCTACTAATGGTGGGGGACAAGCGAGTAAACGTTTGGCACAAACTCAAGCGCAAGTCGATGAAGTTGTTGGTATTATGAAGGAAAATGTTGACAAAGTGCTTGAGCGTGATAAAAATTTGTCTCTTCTTGATGATCGAGCTGGTATGTTTGGAAAAATAACAATAGCAAAATATTTTGAAATAAGATAAAAATATATTTGTTGTTTCAGATGCACTTCAACATAACGCAGCACAATTTGAACAACAAGCTGGAAAATTAAAACGAAAGTATTGGTGGAAAAATTGCAAGGTAGATTACGTTTTATTTCATTGATAATAATAAGTCAGCATGATTAAGTATATATATACATGTATACAGCATTAGATTTAATATTTTTTCTCGTCAATAGATGATGATCATACTGGGGGTGGTTGCTACAATTTTTACAATTATTCTAATCGGTAAAAATGTTGTTATCCCACTCTATCTATGTTGTCAGCTTATCCAGCGTGTTTTTTTATGCGTCGCGTATGAACTACCTTTTTCCTAATTAACTGGCATGTCTTTTGTTAGTTTATTTTAATCAAAAATGCTTTTTTACGTAAAGATAACTGCATGAACAAGAATACTAGTACAAAAACTGTATAATCAGATTGTTGAGAGGTCACACTGCTCCAACGTTTAGCTAAATCTTAAATGTTTAGATGCATTTTTGTTGTTCGAATCGGAAGTTAAGTTGGATTTGAAAGGATATTTTCCTTAAAATTTTGATTTCAAGAAAAATAGATTTAGTTTATGCCGGCGATTGACCTAAATATCGAAGAGTTAGAACTAGATAATGCACTGCGTCACTGACTGTCTTTTCCTTTACCATCTGCAGCTTGATTAACTTAGTTTTGCTTATTTTTTACGTTCCACTATAGTTCAGCTAAATATGTCAAAACTTTCCTTTTACTTTGACTGGAAAAAGTATTCTATTATCTTTCGAATGGTGTATTTGGTTTGCTCTAGTTCTTAAAAGGAGAGATATATTTACAAAATATTTTTTTCAAGCGTTTGATAAGTTTTTTACTATAATGCATACGAAAATAGTTTTTAAATACACCATTTCAAATAGAAATGAATGTTTTTATCCAGTCACTGCAAAAGAAAATGTTTTATTAAATTACAGCCTAGAAATGAACAAAACTAATGTAATCAAGCTGTACAGGTAATACCATTGTGTTGTGCGACGTATATGCTCTTGTTCTGAGTTACTTAAATGCACTTAAGTTTTAGTATTTATTCCGTCATTTTTAGCCTGGATCGTAACCAAAGTGAAAGCTGTAAAACCAGTGCCAACTCAAGATGAAACGAGTACAGCTATATCACCAAGCGATGCTGGAATACCACCATATGATGAACCGGCTGTCAAATCAGGTCGAAAAAAAAATCACACAATAACAATGTCACCGACATCTCTAAGTGGTGAATTATTAAATGGTGATGCGCCAGATCAATCGGTTCAAGCTCCAAATGAAATAATATTACCAGATAAGACTGAAAAAAAATCTGTTTAACATAAAAAACGACACCTATGGTAATTTTCCACTGGCATTCCGTAATTTTTCAGCTATTGTAGTTTTATTTTTGGTTCACCATCATATTTTGAGATGGTGATTAATTAGACGTTAAAATTGCAATTTTAGGCTACTCATTCACGACAATTTAATTTAAAGAACTATTTCATGTTGTCTTATATGTTATTTTTAAAGTTCCTTCTACAATTTTTTTTTCTGTTAATAACAAACAATATAACTAACGATAGTCGTTTTTTCTGTTCTTATTCATCTGTATAGATCAAGTAATTAAACATCGTTTTTATTTTTTCGTTGTTGTTTCTCTCTTTGTTGGTACAGTTGTTTTTTTTTTCTCGAATTCAATACATCCACATATATCTAAAAATCTATTTTTTTTGCTCGTTGTTTATCTCTCGTGAATCAAAAATGACCCTTATTTATTATACTTTTATTTTATTACATATGTCTGCCAGTGTATGTATATGCTTGTCACTTAAAAAATAAAACTTGAATAAAACTGAATAAAAATGAAACTTGATTAAAATATAGATGCATTTTCTCTCAAATAAAGTCAATCAGCACTGCTTAGACGTTAAGTTCTTGAAAAAAACTTTTACTGAAAGTTTGAATTTCCTGCACCTTACGATCAAGAATATTGATGATGGTCCATGCGTAAGCAAAATGTCAGTATTCAGTGGTATTTTGGACCAAACAGCTTCTAATTGTTCACTATTATGTGGTAATTAAATGCCCAATTGTTGAATTTTGGCTGCCACGAGCTAAACACAAAGAAGAGAATAAAATAACAGTTCCAGTAAAACACTCAAAAACAAATCTTTTTTAAACAAAATCTCACACTTCTTTAATTAAAATTTGCATGGCCAAAATTCTTGGTATAAGAGTACGAACATGTTTCTAGTTTTCTGTTATTTTGCCCACTTTCAAATCTGAGAACATATCGCTAGCTCGCTAACGAATGAAAATATTCTCACCATTGGCAACTGATACTTTTTTCTTTTCTTTTCGGTGACTTGAAAAATTTGTGAAGAACGATGCAGATGATGTTATTATGATGTGTAATTACAACATATTCTGTGTGAGCCTTTCATTTATTCTGTGATTATAAGAGGAGCCATTTTCTCTAAAACTTGAGCGAGCAACAATATAGTACATTATATGGCAAGACCTTATCAAATACAATCGTGCAGTAAACAAATGGTTCATAACGTGAACGCAAATAAATTAGTGAAATATTATAGATATCTTTGTATGATGAAATAGACATGAGGATTTAACATGCGACAAGAAAAAAATATACTTTAGTAGAGTAGATCGAAATAGTGTTTCATTTCTTTCCCATCATTCATTCCCTCCGAGCGTACATACTACTTTATTAAACTGTGTACAAATTTTGAGTTAGCAAAACAAATAAACATACTAATTTCTTGAGAAAACTTTGTAGATTATCAAATAATTTTTATTCAGCATATTTAAAATGGCATCGAGTAATTCCGCTTCATCAATAAAAACACGCTTTGTTTGTATAAGTGACACACACTCTCGTTATGAGTTTTCCTTACCGGATGGTGATATCTTACTACATGGAGGTATGTGTAAAAAACTACTACTAGTATGGGATGGAGCTAATTATTTGTTATTGAATATAGGAGATTTTTCGCTAACCGGATTAGAAAGCGAAGTAGTTAAATTCTTAAATTGGTTAAAATCCTTGACAAAGTATCGACTCAAGGTAGTAATAGGTATGTCATTTTGAACTATGTATATGACAAAAAACAGATTTATTGTTAAACTTAGCTGGCAATCATGATTTAACACTACAGCCAGATTTCTATAAAATATGGTGGCAGCGATGGCACAGTAAGTCAAGCATTAACGATATGGATGATATTTTGTTACAGTTATGTCATCCTTCTTACTAGGAGCAAAAGAAGATACTCAGTCAATTCAAAATATGTGGAATAACCCAGAATTAAAAACAAAATATGGTATAATCTATTTACAAGATCAAGAATTTATCGATGAACAAACTGGATTCAAATTCTATGGAAGGTTTGTCGGTGAGTGTTTTACTGAACCTTTTTATTTTATTCTCTTCTTTGTTTTTAGCCCGTGGCAGCCAGAATTCCACAATTGGGCATTTAATTTACCACATAATAGTGAACAATTGGAAGCTGTTTGGTCCAAAATACCACTGAATACTGACATTTTGCTTACGCATGGACCACCGTCAAATATTCTTGATCGTACATTTACTAATGAATCAGCTGGATGTGAAGTTTTAACAAAACGTTTAAAGTTAGTGAAGCCAAAATTACATGTCTTCGGTCACATTCACGAAGCTTATGGAAACTGTGAATCAAATGGAACGATATACGTAAATGCATGCACGTGTAATCTACGGTATAAGCCCGTTCAACCGCCCATTGTCATAGAATTAGAAAATCCAAATCAAATTGTTTCTTGTTAAAGTGTTAAATAAGTGTTGTTGATTTAAATCAAGAATCTTTTTGTTTAGGAATTCTCATTCATCACTAGATAGAATTTTACTAAATTTTTCGCTCAAGAACTTAACGTCTAAGCAGTGCTGATTGACTTTATTTGAGAGAAAATGCATCTATATTTTAATCAAGTTTCATTTTTATTCAGTTTTATTCAAGTTTTATTTTTTAAGTGACAAGCATATACATACACTGGCAGACATATGTAATAAAATAAAAGTATAATAAATAAGGGTCATTTTTGATTCACGAGAGATAAACAACGAGCAAAAAAAATAGATTTTTAGATATATGTGGATGTATTGAATTCGAGAAAAAAAAAACAACTGTACCAACAAAGAGAGAAACAACAACGAAAAAATAAAAACGATGTTTAATTACTTGATCTATACAGATGAATAAGAACAGAAAAAACGACTATTATTAGTTATAGTGAAGAGAAAAGTTTCATGTTCAATATTATTGAGTGTAGCACTCAAAAGTTTATCCCAAAATATTTTGAAAACATCTGTTAGATGAAAGAGCAGTATGACAATAGAAAAACAAGGAAAAAGGCTCACGATAAGTTGTTGTTGTTACCAAGTTTTTTTCTATTGATCTACTGTAGTAACGTGTCTGGTAGACTAATGGATTTAGCTGTCCAATGCATCTGTTTCTTATGGTATTATACACTAAAACCTGTCAATATTACTAATATAATCATCTTCCGTTTTATATTACAATTAATATGTTTATCAACACTCTACAAATGGACAAGTTGATTTTTTTTGTACAAAACACAATACATACTATGAGAGTTGAGAAAATTTCTTCTAGGTACTTGTTACTAGATTTCTTCCATTATCGTTCTTGATCTCTATAATACAAGGTGTTTATACAGATGCATTTTGTCTTAAACGCCGATTAATATCATACACACATATTGTTGATTTTCTAACAAGTGTATACAAATAAAATATATTGATATCTGTGTGCGTATGATATAGATCGTTTAAATACCCGTCAGAAAACGAATAGCAGAAAAAGAGGAAAAAAGGAGCCGTAGTGCACCGATTTATAATGATAAAAATAGATTCTCATGCCGTACATAAAAAATAATTGTTTCTCTCTAATGCATCGAGTTATTCTCAATGAACAAATGCTAAGAAATGTCAATACCATCATTATAAACGCGTAAGTTAAAGTATGGAGAAGAAAATGTTGTATTTTTGAAACTTCATCAGACCAATGTTTTCATGAATTATGACTCAACTAAACTGAAAGTGCCAGAAATTAGATATGCACGAACTTTTTGGACCAGTGAGGGTTATAGAGCAAACATTTCTCTACAAAATGAGATGTTCCGCAACTTCGACTCTTAATTACCGAGTAATAAACGTTTTCTCGAATACCCAAACACCAGTTCTAGAAGTTGCAAACCTAGTGACAATCGTGATCAGAATGGATGTTTTTCGCAAAGTATGCACCTAATATTTATGTACTTGTATTTTGTGTTTTGTTCTCAATGATGAATCAGTGTATGATTAAAAAAGGCATTTTGTCGAAGACTTACTAAGTATTGTATATTAGAAACAGGGCAGCCCCTCTAAGGGCTAAAATGATGAAACTCCTGTGCAGGTCTTTCACTTTTAATAACTAAAGCACTGCTACGTTATATTAATATTGTAATATAGAGAGATGGCGTGGCACTTTTATCTGTTTTGAGATGAATGATAATGGTGACTAAGGATTCCCTGTATTTCACATGTTTTTACTATAGGATAAATATTTTTTCGGGATGTTTTTTGGGCTCAAAGTGAAATAATAATTTAATTTTAGTACCAATGATTTTAGTACTAAAGATGAATATGACTTCATTCTAAGATGAATACACCTGAGGGAGGGAGGTGGAAAAACAGGTTAGAATCAAGGTTATTGCGTATAAAACTTCAATTCCTTTTCCTTTAGAGATAATCAAGGAATTTTACAAACGATAATTGTAGCTACGAGTTTTCTGGTAGAAAAGGCTCTAATAATAATACACTTTGATTTTTGTCGTTTCACGAGTGTCTTCGCATGATTACTCATTTAGATAAAAAATCTAATGTATCACCAGTGCTAGTTTTCGCATTAGAACGGTGTAGAAGAATTAAAAATTTCCCATGGGAAAACAAAAAACTTAATTCATTAATCTCACTGCATAAATTTATGATTATCAATGAAGCATTTAAGTTAGAATCAACAAGTTAGTTTTGTTTAACATTTGCCTAGAGCAGCATGTATTTTTTAGAAAAACAAAAAAATTCATATTTGTTCGAGAAAAATTGATGAAATTGTTTTAATTTGACTTTTCTATCTATATTTAATAGTTTATCCTTTTTTTGTTTTGTTTCTTCTTTAAACTAGTAAATTGTTTGAGACAGACATCCCTTAATACAAAAGAATGTATGTGGTTATAAATAGTATTTCATTTCCAAATTATTTCTTGTTGATAACAAAAGATTTTTCATGTTTCCATTGTATAAAAACAAAGAAAGAAATAGTTTTTTGTCATCAAACAAAAGTTTCTTTTTCCATTAGAAAAGAAAGAAAGTAGAAACTTTTGAAAAAAATGTTTACGCTTCTGAAATCAAATATTTAATCAGAAAAAAACAAAAAAAAAAGAACCCGTTCGTTATATTCTTAACCATATAGAAGCAAGAGTAAATACTCACTTGAAATATAGGCAAAAAAGCATGATGATAAGTGTGTATAACATCCTTCCGATTACTAGTAAATAGATAGATCGCACAGCGGGTTAGTTAAGAAAGATCCATGTTTTTTTACTGTCGTCGAAGTAGTAGTTTTTTTCTTGATTATTAATTTGACTATATTTGTCGACTAGTTGTTATCATTAGGAAAATAAGCGATAGTATATTTAATAGTATATAGTCTAATGATGAAATTATTTTCTACTGATCAATAAATTTTAAGTAAAGTATTAATTGAATAATAACTTACTCTCATTTATTCTCGTTATATTGCTTAATGTATGCAAACTACAATATCAAATTGAATATTGAGACTACTTAATCATACTTATATATTTATATCAAAATAAACGTCTAATCTAACAGGTGTTTTCAAAATATTTTAAGATAAACTTTCAGTAATATTAAACGTTTATATAATGTGACATGTGTGTGAACATCTTTTTCTTTTTTACTTTCTTCTTTTTTTTTATTGGTGATATAAGTGCGTTAATAAGAAAAAAAATGATGTATGTGGTTTTGTTTCAATATAACTCTTCAACAAGTATTTTTTCTGTCATTTCCTATAAATTCACTTCAACTCTAGTATTTGCGTTTCTCTAAATGTCTATTTTAAAATTATTTAACTCGAGTTAGTGTAATAAATCCTATAAATTTATGAAAAAATATAATAATAATAAAATGAAAATGATAAAAAAAAAAAAAAATAGTTAATCAAAGTAAACGTTGAATATTAAATAGGTTCATATGCTCACAATTGGCAAGAAAATTTTTTTCGGAAATTGATTAATAAAATGCCATAGTTTAATCAGATTGATTGTAACTTCTGAACATATACTAGTTGTTCAAAGAGACAAATGACTTCCGAGATAAAATCATTTAGGAATTAACATCGTGCTAATATTTGTCACAATTCAATTTTTTTGTATGAAATCAATTATTACAATTTATACAATAATTTTGTGACCCTAACATACATCAATACATATATATCTAGTAAAAGTTTAAATTTTGGTATAATTAATTTTAAATTTTTGAATTCTCTACTGAAAAAAAAAATGATGAACTTCTTATTTTTTTTGTTGATGTAAATAAAATAATGGGTTAGTTAACAACTTTTATCTATAGAAAATAAATATATTTTACATTATTTTCTGTTTTATGATCTATAAAATCAAGATATCGGAGAGAAAAATAATCTTTCTTTATGAAGGTGTTGTATTTTTAATACGAAAATATAAAAGAAAAATGAAAAAATATTCTTACATGATATACATTCATCAAATGAATTTTATATGACTAAAAACATAATAGAAAAATAATCTCATGAGGAGTGGAAAACATGAAATTATCTTTCTAAAATGTAGTGAAAAAAAAGAAGAAAAAAAAAAAATTGTTGAAATCTCAAAACAAAGAAGTATCGAAAGATTTCTTACAATTAATTGATTAGAGTCAAGTATTGTTAAGTGTTTATTCAACGTATAACATTCTTTTTTTTTCATTCAAGTATCATTATTCTTCTTATTCTACTTATTATTATTCTTGTTTGTTCTCGAAATACATATATAATCTTTATTCATTCGTTCTTTTTTCGTTTGTCAAAAAATATATAATATAAAATAATAAAAAAAACAAACTATAATTAAAATTCTTAAAAAAAAAAAAAAAAAAAAAAAAAAAATTTAAAAAAAAAATTAAAATTTTTTTTTGGATAAAAAATATAATATTAATTTATGGGTGGGGGTTTTTTATTTTTTTTTTTTTTTTT